AAACTACTGCTATCATCTGTAGCCAGCTTAGCACGACTGATGTGACTACAGATGATAGCAGTAGTCTCCTGGTTTGCTTTGGGCCTCCGACGTTTGGCATCAGCCGTGCTAAGCTAGCTGCCACTGCTGATGCTTTTGCACTCACGTGTTCGATTTGCTGCTTAAAGTTGAGTCGGGCATCAAGCATCATTCCCAGATATCGGATATATGGTTGTTATGTGATTTCTTGTGGTCCGACTTTCAGTTTTATGGTCTCTATTACTTTTCTGCTGGTAATAAGCACAGCCTGAGTCTTCTGTTTAGCCAGTTGTAGATTCATTGAATCCATCCACTGGTTAACTTTCTCAAAGGTGATACCGAACATGTGATTTATCTCATCTAGGTGTTTCGTAACGATTACGACAGCTACATCGTCTGTGTATGCAACAAGCTTGACACTTCTTGGTAGATTCAGTCTCAGCAGGCCATCATACATGACATTCCACAAAAGTGGACCCAGAACAGAACCCTGGGGTACACTTCCGGTAATATCGTACTCTTTTGGACCATTTTTCGTGTCGTATCTCAGGATTCTGTCCGTAAAGTAGCTAGCCACTATCCTACGTAGGTATCCTGGTACGTTTTTCTCTTCCAGAGCTTGCATAATGCAGTCCCAGTTCGCGGAGTTGAAGGCATTTTTGATGTCCAGAGTGGCCACCAGGCAGTACTTCTTCGCTCCACCCTTTCATCTGTGTGTGTGTGTGTGTGTGTGTGTGTGTGTGTGTGTGTGTGTGTGTGTGTGTGAAAGTATGGAAACCGCTTATAACTTTTGAACGGCTTGACCGATTTCATCGAGGTTGGTGCTATCCGAAAGGGCTTGACCAAATTTAGATTTTGAAACCTATTTGGACCGATTCAGATTAATAGATTTTGAGAAATCTTCAAAAAACTGAAAAAAAAATTTTTTTCACATTGTTTATTCATTTATTATTTACTATTAATTGTCATAAAATTATATGGGGTCAGATGAACCAGTAGTCCCGGAGACGATTGAACCACGGAAAAGCATGATACCTACGCGCACATCTTGACTCTACGTCAAAAATGCTAAAGGAAATAACCTAACAATTTAATGAACTGAATTTATAATGAAAATTTTTTCTGAATTCATTGTTAATTGATATAATATAATATATGTGCATTAAAAAAGTACAATAGTAATATTAACAACCCTAGTGGTTTTGTAAATGCCGAAAAAATATCGTAATTATACAGTATTAATGCGGTATTTTTTCAGCATTTTTTCGGTTGTTTTGGTCAGTTTTTTCATCGAAATATTACGGAACATTTACCGTAAAAATGCGAATAATTTACGTTCAAAATGCGAAATATTTACGCTCAAAATGCCATACATTTACGCTAAAAATTTAGAATATTTACGCTGAAAATGTGGCATATTTATGGTAATAAAGCGGTAAAATGACTGTATTAAAACCATATTTAAAAAATGGTATAAAATTAAATAACGCTCAGACTCGGATTCGAACTCAGAATCTTCTGAGGACAAGTCGGCTACTCTACTATTTGAGCTACCTGGCTTGTACTATATGTTTGCTTATTCTATATATATATTAAGCCACACTGTCCATTTTACGATAAGCATATTTGAAATTGAACGATATAGTTATCTATGTAAAACAATATAACTTTTCGATTTTAGAAAATTTCCAATTTTTCATTTTATTGGAAAGTTTTCATTTTATTCATTTCTATTAACATAGAAGTGAACTAAAAATAAAACCAAATCTTTAATAATTTCCCATTATGTCAGAAAATATTCGGCAAAATTACTGTATCATTACGGTAATTATTTGGAATTTTTTGGGTAAAATCGGCGGTAATAAAAAATATTATCAAAAATACTTTAAATAAATTTTATTTTTAGTATCAAGAAATTTTTATTTTTTTTGCTACAATTTAATAACTACGAGGTTTAAATTAAATTAAATCTTAGTTAAGGAACGTTGTACATACATCTTTATAAAAACATTAATTTATTGCATGTCGTCACCTCCTTCTGGTACAGTTATGTACAAATTGTTTTGGTTTCGAAAATCTTCTACAACATAACAAGGACATTCAATATTGTTAATCGGAACTGCTATTATATTTTTTAGTTTTCTACATAGAAATATATTATCTAATACTATATTTGAAACCACTGAGTGAAATGGATTGTATGTAAATAAAGTTTTTTATAACTGCAAAAAATTGTGACCTGTTAAAACATTGATCGCAAAATTTTTGACAGTCACATTCACATAATCCGACAAATATTTGTATTTGTCCTATTTTATAATTTCTTCCGTTGAGGCGATATTTTACAAAACCCGAGTTTGTTCTTGGATAATTCTTTATTACTTTTCCGGTCCTGATTTGATTTTGTTCTCGTTTTTGAACCAAATAATCTTCCGATTCATACAACACTCCTGATTTAAAAAGTTTTTTAAATATTATAAATTTCTTTGTGTTGACCAATACATTGCCATTCTCAAATGCAGTGAAGTAACAAGCTGATATATACGGTTTGACTTCGTAGGTTCCAGCAATAGATGTTTTTTCAGCAATCAAGGTAAGTTTACGTCTATTTCTACTTGCTAATTCTAACTTATTACAAAATGTATTGATTTTTGTGCCAGGTCTCAACGTATTCAATTTAGTATCCGATAAATTAAAATATAACATTACTGCTGAGCAAATCTGCAACTGCGCATATCTTGTTCCGTGAGCTAAATCTTTCAAAATAACATTCAAATTTTCAAAGGGGTAACATGATGACATTGTGAGAGGTCCGAGTTTTTTGACTACGTCCACGAGATGAATCAATTGGTGTAAGTTACAGCTCATATGGCGAGTACCATATAAATCTTCAAATTTTCCAATGAATTCGGTCAAAGCCCTCGAGCAAATTTCCAGAGATTCTGGAGATATACTTTTCGAATGTAAAGTTGCAATACTATAAACTAAAAGAACCATATGATTAAAATATATTGGATCCATAATGTTGTGCAAAACGGGTAAGCAATAATAAAGAAGAAAAATACGAAATTCTGAAGCTTTCCAGTATTTCAAATTGGACAAAGATTGAGGCAGTCTTGGAACTGTAGATGGTGGACAAATCAAACGTATTCTCTTGTCTACTAGATGAATTTGAGAGTATAGAGAAGCTTTTTTATAACACCCAAGTCAACACAGTGCATCGTATAAATCGCTGTCGTCTCAATAAAATTATAACAAATTTTCGAAAGAACTGTTGGGCCTTTTACACCTTTTTCAGGAATTAAAGTTTTTAGAGTTTTTTCAGCTAATTTGATTGTGTCGATTGTGGTCCGCAACTTTACTTGAAAATTTGAACGATAAACTTGAACTTTATTTTTTTTTTGACTTGCAATTTCACACTTTTGACAACCATATGTACCCATATGTGGTGACATGTTCAAAAATGTTGAGTTTGCTGGCAAATCACATGTACCGCATAAAATTATTCCTCGAACAGTTATTGATTCATTTCGTCCAGCTACATTGATGTTAACTCCTTTATATAATAGTTCAAGTTCCTTACGGAAAACACCCATAAACATATTATTATCAGGTTTATTTATTCCACTCCATAAACCACATAATATAATATTTTCTTTTTTTATCCTTTCATTATAAGGTAGTTCATTTATCCTTAAAAAAAACGGCCAGACGCTAAATTTAGAATTTTTATAAAGTTGAACTCCATCTGTATTCCACATAAAAGATATATTTGTTTGTTGAGATAGAAGACCACCATTTTCAAAAAGACTCTGATATATTTCTCCGTCGTAAATATCTTCATAATGATTAACACTTGATTTTTGCCGATTGAAACGATAATTTAATTGATCATAAAAATCAACTCTAGAAAACATCGTTTGAAGTTGATTTAAAATAGGAATTTGGATAAAATAATCATTTTCATTTTGACTAGCACAAATTTCACAAGTAGATTTTTCTGAAATTAATGAAATGAAACAGTTCGAACAGTAGTAGTGACGGATAAATGGTGTTGCTATATTTTCGAAGTATTCTTTAAATTTATATGCTGACGTAATGCAAATATTAGGTTCTTTGCAATGCACACTTAACCACACAAGAAGATCACTTACAACGGCCATAGGTAACTTATGACGCATTCCTAATAACAAAGTTGACAATAAACTTTCGTTTAATGATATTGGAGCATCTGGATAGAGAGGAAGATCACCCATATCAATATCATTATGAGAAAAATTGTTCTCCTCAATGTACGAAGGTTCTAAATGTGAATCACGGAAGGATATTTCGTGACTCTTATCATTATGCTGAATATCTTCATCATTACTTGAATTATTACAATGCTCATCATCAAAATAATTGGTGTTATTGTGATTTTCATCGTCATCGTAGCTATCATGATAATGAATATCTCCGGAATTATCATGATGGAATTGAAGGTCATCTTTACTATCATTTCTCTCTCCATCATCGTCATAACTGAGGTCGATATAAAAATTACAATCGTCTAAATTTCTATTTAATGAAAAATCATCACTGTGACAGGTGTTTTGATAATTAATATGTTTGATTTGACGGTTCAATGTAAAATGTTGATAATTACGATTCAAATTTCCAGTATTCATAGTTAAAAAACTAGACTCATCAATTAACTTTGAACTATATTCGATGCAGCTATTATCTTCACCTAGAAATGAATCATATAATGGAATTGAATTTTTAATTTTTTTATTGACTTAACTTAGTTCTTAACACAAGTATGCACAAGGAAAATTAAAATTCTACACAATTTCTAAAAACGTAAAAAATAAAATATTTATACGTTTTACTCTCAACCCAACAAACTTCTTAAATGTGAATAAAATAAATTTTTTTTTCAAACAAAAAACTCCACATTGAACAAAAATTTTGCGTTATTAAATAATCATCGAAGAATAATAATTAGGTGCAGTGATTAATGATTAAAAATAATTAATAGTAATTACCAATAATTATATTATTACTAAATGAAATTTGTAATTTATTGTTTACTGGTAGTTCCTTCGTTACTGAATTTTCTAGGATATTACTAAAGTCATGTTCAGAAGTTACATTATTGTTGCTGGCGTCAGATAAACAACTATTATCAAATGCAGCAGGAATTTGTGTCTGACATATTTTTCTGATTTTATATTGATAACTTTTTGAGTACTCATTAATATTTTTGACTCTTTTAGACATATTTTATTGTTTATTTTCTATTTGACTCAGATCAGCGCTTTCTTTTATTTATTATAACTTACAAGTTATTTTTGTTGATAAACAAACACGCTACTGTATTCACACTATTGAATTTTATTTCATTGACAGATCGTAAATAAATAAATTATTTAAATTTATTTAAATATAATTAAATAATAACGAGATATTCCAAGAATATCAGCTGAAATGTTTGCATTAATTTGGTGGATACACTCAAAAAAATCCAGTGTGATTCCTTACAATACAATTAAATTTTCTGCAAAAAAAGAAGCTTCGGTTTTACAGAGAAAGAAATTTCACTCCGTTAAAATTTTGAGGACAAGTGGTATGTTTTTACTCCAAAATTATTAACCAAAAAATTTTTCTTTCCAAAAACCAAAAAATTTCAATAGTTTTTACAAAACATACTTTAATCAAAAAGTCTTAACCTCAATTTTAATATTTTATTTATTTTTTCGATATTATTAATTAACTAATTAAATTATTACTAATTAACTAATTCAATTATTTTTGTTACTAATCAATTGATTTAATTATTGTTAATTGATTTCTAATTATAGAAGACAACGCTTGGCTTGAATCGTTAAAAGTAGATGGTGATGGAAACGTTTATATGCCGGAAGATAATATACATAAGAAAAACCTGAGGGCTCGTAAACGAGAATCCAGTAAGGAAGGTAAAGAGCTAACCAGTGAAATTAAAAAGAGAAAACTTCAACGAGATTTGAAGCTAGCAAAGGAGCCATCTATTTTCGAGGAAATAGACAAACCTCCAGCAGGCAAAACAAGAGATGCGACTTCCCGCGAAGAAGAAAGTAAGAACACTGATTCATCATCAGAAGGTGAGACTTCTAACTCAGATGTCACTTCCGTCTCTGAAGATGACCAAAAAAAAAAAAGACAAAACCATCGAAGTCTCACAAATTTAATTTTGATGATCCGCTTTTTATGGGAAATAATTCTCGTAAAAGTGAGTCATTTGAGAGTAAAAGTTCACAGAGAAGTTCCCAATGTCTTAACTGTCCTTTGTGTAACTTAAAAAAATGAGGGTAAATATATATCTATTTATTAAAAATTTATTTGTTCTATTCAAATAATTATTATTATTTAAATTTTAGAATCTCAACTTTACATTGGATTCTTGCAAGGCGTCGTCGGATTCCTCAAAGATCACGGTTGTTCTTCATCTTCATCCTCTAAAACGGTTGTTGAAACGAAAGATTCTCCGGCATCTCGTTCTTCAGCGAGTGGTTATTCCAAGATGCCATGGAATTTATCGGGACCTCGAAAGGTAACAAATAATAAATTTTGGGTGACAAATAATCTAAAGGCATAATTTTTTAATAAATAGGTTGAATTGCATCCAATGAGTGATGTGTATATTGAATCATGTGAGTTGGATTGCCTCAAAACCAAATACACTTATGACCCGAAAGAAATGTCGAGACAGATTTTCAAGAAAGTTATTGGGACAGACAATCTACTAAAAATGAGCCGCACGGGTGGAAACGGGTGGACACGGTTGCCAAATGATGTATTCACTGCTGTTCACGGTAGAGTTAATTTGCGTTACAGATGCCATCAGTGTTTACAATAATTAAATGCTCTTTTCGAAAAACTATTGCCAGATAATAAAATAATATATGATATAATTTAAATAATATATGTTTCAGGTTTTATTTCAAAGAATGCTCGGCCAAAACTGTCAGCAGCTGAATTTGAACGGTGTGTCACCCTCATGTTTACTTCCCTGAGACCTGGACAGTAAAAAAAGTAAAATCAAATAAGAAGAAAGTACTGATTAAGCGGCTGGCTGAATTATCATTTTTTTTATCTTTCTATTCCTCTTCTTTAAAAAAAAAATATTAAAATTTTTCGTGTTTTACTGTGATCATTGTATGCACCTTATAATTTTGTTAATGATTGTGTTCTCAAAATAAAAGATCCATTTATATTAAGAAATTTTTTATCAAAGCAGTCGCTACCTGATCCCTGGATGACTACTAGATTATCACTGATTAACCAAGCAACTTTTATCCCATAACTGAACGACTTTTATGCGATTTCCGAATGATCTATAGGTTGTCGCTGATTGATCACTGGGTGATCTCTAATTGATCTCTGATTGATCACTATCAGATTATTCTCCTCAGAGTGATCAGTTATTGATCTTTAAGTGATCTCTTATTGATCTGTGGTTGATTACTGAGTGATCAATTATTGATCAATGAACGATGAGTTATTGATCAATCCGTGATCGATGATTGATCAGTCAGTGATCAGTCAGTGATCAATGAATGATCAATCCATTTTTGTACGGGATAAACTGGATATTTACAGTATAAAAACTGGCCAAAACAACTATAGTTCAACCGCATTATTACCGAATTATAACGGTAAATATACGGCATGAGCATAAATGCCGAAAAATTACGGTATTTTTACGGCATTCTTAAAACCGCGAGGGAAGTAACAATTAATATATATTGTTTATTAATAGTTCGGGTTTGAGTTTTACCTTATCTTCGCGCTCGGGGTTCAAGCATGCAAAAAACGAGGTTTATATAGAAGAAGCGAATAAAAATGTAATGTAACCTATAAAATACTGTGCAGCTTTTAATCAATACTCCTAAAAAAAATAATTCCATAAATTTTACATGAATTAAAAAGAATAATGCAATGACATAAAATGAGAGTCTATTTAAAATACAACCAGAGTTAACTATTAAAAAAAAAAAAAAACTGACGACTAAAGTCAAAAATTGGAACAAAAATTTTCAACAAATGTCTTTTTTAGGATTACTACTTGAGCCAAGCTCAAAGTCAGACAAAATTCAGCGAAGAGGCTTAAAATAATCGCAAAAGAGATTTTTTAAAAATGAAAGAAATTGAAAGGATAGTTGGATATGATATGTAGGGAACGATGAAAAAGATTGCGAGTATATTCATCATACAGCAGCTATTTCCCGGAAAAATGTAACGAGTCAAAAGTACCTCATCTACAGATGGTTCAAGTATATGAGAGCATGTATGAGTCAGATAGTACAGAAGTATAAGCTTCCAATAGCCAGAGATCATCACTGTGAAATGGCATGAATGTGCTTTACAGCTAGATAAAAAAAATATAGAATGGTATGGTGGCTGATGCGAATAGGAGGTGGGCTGCTAAAAATCAGAGTGATGAACGTTCAACGAGTGAATGTGGAAAAAATAGTATTCAAGGGTTAAGAGTATCAAAATGAATGAGAGAATATGCAAGGGGCAACAAGTACTCGGCACTGTTTTAACCAACTTACTGTCAATTTTATATATGACGCATCTGTTTTCGAATTCAGTAAACTGTTGCATCTAAACTTTATCTTACGACGAGTGTTAAAAAACATTTATTTTGTTGTTTTCTTAAAAAATTAATACTTTATTTTTTGTAATAAAGGATTAATTATATTAAATGTTATCGAAAATAAATTAATTTAATAAGCGATTGACCTGTTCTGATTTATCTGAAATGAAATTTTTTCTAAACACAAATCTTTAGTCTTCAATCTTCCTTCTTTTGTAACTAATTAACTACACTCAGAATTAAAAAAAATTTCTCATGACGTATAGAGACTACTTAGAGGTTACTTATTAATTACTTAAGAATGAGTCGGTGATTTTTAACCCTTTTCACTTCTAAATCAGGACATTGAATTTACCAGGACATTGAGTTTAGGCTAAACTTGTAAAAAATTTTACGCCTCCGTATAATTACTGCATAAATAAATTAAAAAACAATTCACTGTTCGAAGAAAGTTTTTTCCAGTTTTGACAGCCTGATACGGATATGGAATATCAATCGTTCATTTGATATTATATAAAAAAAAAATTAGGAAAACGGTTGAACCTAAAGGCCATCCCTGCAACTTCTCGCTACTTCCATACCTAAGTGCTCAACAATTCACTTATTTTTTAAGCTCTTCAAGCTCAAAAATATAATTTTTGTGTAATTTTGAGCTCTCCGAGCTCAAATAAATCGCTGTTCTGTACTTTTGAGCTCTTCGAGCTCAAAAGGCTAATGGAAGTTTTATAGCACACTATTTTTTGAATTTTCAAACCGCAATAACTTTTGAATGAATTAACCGATTTACTCGCGGTTTACGGCATTCAACGCAGTTTTTTGAGTTCTTTGAAAAATTTTTGAGCGTAAACTGGTCAAACTAAAAATTTCATAGAAATTCTGAAAAAAAACATTTTTTTCAATTTTTTTCAACAACGATATCTCACGAACAAATCAACCGATTTTGATCTGGCTGGTGGCAATCGACGTGGTTTTTTGAGATAAGGAGCTGATTAGTTTTTGGAATTGATCGGTTCAGCCGTTTAAAGATATTTCAAAAAAACGAATTTTTGGAAATTTTATTTTTGAGATTTCTCAAAATTGATCGACTCAAATTCTGTAAATTAGTATCAGAATTCTAGACACACACACACACACACACACACACACACACTCACACACACACTCACACACACACACACACACACACACAGACATAAGGAAAGCTTCCTAGGACCTGAAGACGTCGAGATCCGATGAACACTCGATTTTCGAAAAACGGGGTAAAACCAATAACTTCCCGATTTTTGAAAATTTTCAATTTTCTTAGCGGGAAGTTAAAAATTAGAAAAACGGTTCACCCTAAAGGCCATCCCTGCAACTTCCCGCTAC